GTGTGCTTACTGAGCTGATGCAAACATAACCCCTTTCCTTACAGCTCCTTTTTGCTGGGCACAGTGGTACCCGCCTGTAATCCTCGCTATTTGGGAAGCTGATGTAGAAGTTTGCAAGTTTGAATTCAGCCTCTCTCCATGTAAAAATAGTAACAAAAAGGGCCAGCAATGTAGCCTAGTGATAGAGGCCACTTGACTGGCTGTGCTTGAAACCCTGGGTTCAGTCCCCAGAACCGCAAGGGGAAAAAAGTATTCCCTTTTTGTCTGTTTAGTATTTATTTAAAGTTGCCTAACACTAGGAGTTAATCAGTAAGTAACTAAGTATTTTCTTGTTGAACTTTTTCACATGGAGAGAGTTGGGATTTAAACATCTCTCCCTTGCAGACTGCTCACTCCTATCTGTACTCTGACTTCTCCTTTGGTTCTTTCTACCTTATGGGTAGACTTGGCTTCTATGTATTATTCCCCAGATTATTAGTCATGTCAAAGGATGAAGCAAGGCACAAGTTTACAGGATCTTATTACACAGACTCCCCCCAGGAATCTTCTGGCTACCTTGTCCATTTAGGGGTGGATTCAGAAGTGCTTGACTTAATTCATGTTTGTTTGTTGGTGGTTTTTTTGTTTGTTTTGTTTTTTGTCTTTTTGAGATAGAGTCTCTGCTGCACAATTCAGGCTGGCTTTGAGCTCACTTTGTAGTGCAAGCTGGTCTCCAGCTCAAAGCAGTCCTCCTGCCTCGGCCTCTCAGCTGAAATTACAGGCATGCACTACCATGCTTGGCTTTGAACCATGCTTTCTGATCACTACCAATATTTGATCAAAACTACTTTTTGTCCAACCTCTGCCCCCAGTAGCACTTGGTAGCACCTTTTAAAAAAAGATTCCATTAAAAAAAAAGTTCATAAGGCAATAATACCTGTTTGTTTGTTTATTTTTGAAATGTTTACCTGGTACCAACCTTTTTTGTATTGCTTTTAATTCACTGTTATTCTGGACAACTGTTTGAAATTCTTGACCTGAGGACAAATGCGATGAAGTGTTTGGGTTCCAACATGAAGCAGCTAAGCAGAACGTCATGTATCCTGTGAAAACATTAAATATTCAGTGGTGCTAAGAATGAATTAAGGTGGAAGTGAATTCTAACTCCTACAGGCCATTCCAGTTTGAGGGGAAAAGGCATCTGTCTCATCAGAGTAAATAATACAAGCAGAACTGAGGGAATAGCAGTGAAAGCATTTTTCATTTTTTAAAACTCAAGCAGTACTTGCATGTCTTTATCCAGATCAGTTGAAAGAGTTGCTAGGACAGGCTGTTCGTCTGATTTACTCTGTTTTCTTTGTAGAGGAGAGGGTTAGTTTTCATCCCGTTCATTGTACTCAAGCTACACATGTGAGCCCTTTATTTACCTATGCTTTTTATTTATTTATTTTCCATTTTTCATGTATTTTTTGCCATTTGTATTTCTTCCTCTGAGAGGTGTGTATTCATCTCAGATGCCCATTTTGGATTGGGTCTTTGAATGTCTATGTTCTTTATTAAGGGAATCTTCAACTGTAATTAAAGTTTAAAAGAATAGGTGAATATAATCAATACATGAATTCATTTATTATCACCCAACTAACTCATCAGTTACCAATACATGTCCATCTTGTTTTACTTTAGGCAACTATATGTCATATATATGCCCTTTTTTAATCTTAAAAAAGCATTACAATTACAAAATAAAATGACTGTAGGTTTTTTTTTTTCTTCTTCTTCTTTTTTTTTTTTTTTTGCGGAGCCAGGGATTGAACTCAGGCCCTTGCACTTGCCAGGCAAGCGCTTATTCTACTGAGCCATCTCCCCGGCCCCATGACTGTAGTTTTGACACAGAAGTCTTTTTATAGATACTGACTTATTATCAAATATCTCAGTTCTTTTATTCTAATAGAAATGACTCATTTTGTGCTCTTGAGGAGTGATTTTGTTCTATTTCTTCAGAGGCTCTTCCACATGGTGGCAGCATTGTGCCAACAAATACAATACAGGTACTGACTCCTATTATAAAGCCACTGGATGCTTTTAGGAGTTTTACCCTTATTGTTGTGTTTGGTTTGGTTTGGTTTGGTTTGGTTTGGTTTGGTTTGGTTTGGCTTAGTTTTTTGTTGTTGTTCTTGTTTTTGTTTTTGTTTTTTTTGTGGCTTAGTTTTTGAAATCAAATTTGAAGGTTCTCTGCCCCTGAGCTACATGACCAGCCCTTTATATCTCTGGTTTTGAAACAGGGTCTAACTCAGTTTCCCAGGCTAGCCTTAAGGCTGCAACCTTCCTGCTTTATCTTCCTGTGTAGCTGGGCTTATTGTGGGCATATACTGCCATACCCAGCTCTGTCTTAGTATTTTTGTAGCCTCTGAAGGACATCCTGGATAAAAGCACCAGAACACTTGCAGAAATGATTTTGAATTCATTTTAATAGAAGAATGAAATGTTGGGCTATGGTGCCCTCTCATTCGGTGCCTAAGAGCAGTGTCTCGATGTGATGGAACTTCATTATATTGTTACTCTTTCTTTAGGAGTATCACCCAACTTTCCTGCACTTGTTTTACTATTTATATTTCAGTTAAAGCAGACTTCTCATTTTCAGTGTAATACTAGTTGGTAGAGAAAAGATGAACTTTAAGATAAAACATTCTCACTGTTAACTTTTTGTTTCTATTGTTTAATCTTCCTTTGTTTCTACTTTTGGAAAATGAGGTTACTTTCTTTGAGAGTTGTTGGGAACATTTATTGAGCTTTTGCATAAGAAGTACCTATTAAAATACCTTGTTATGGTCCTCTAAGATGATGACTCATATGCTGAAAGCAGCTGCTGTAGTTGGGACATAGACGTTAGGCAGAAGTTAATATTATCACTAGAATATTAATTGATTGCTTTGGTATCTATACAAACTGATATGGAACAGTCTGTTTCAAAGGAGTTAGAAATAAGCTTACTTTCAGCTGTAGATTTTATTAGTCCTTTATTGAAAGTCAGTGTTTAGAATGAAGAAACACTTTGGAACTTTAGAAATACAGCTTAAATGATTTCACAAATGTTAGATTTGTACAAATGACATCTCCCACGTGCCTATTTGCAAGAACAAAAGTGTGCTTTTGAATAATGAACATTCTCTAGATTTTTTTATCATTTTTTACAGTGTTCCTTCCTCTGATTCTTTTTGCTCTTTAGAGGTACTCCGTGATATTCCAGTTTGAGTTAACATTTCTGCTAGAATCTGCTGCTTGAGAGACTTTCGACAGACCCACCACGTGTACTTTGCTTTTGACTTTTGAGCTTGGTTCTCCTATGGCCTTTTGCTTACTCTTGAACCTTTCTGATCTCTGTTGTCCTCTGTAATTCTGTGGAAATTGTGTTCTGTGTATTCATTTTCTTAAAAAATAAATTATTATTGTTCATACTACACTTGCTCATTTGGAGAGGAATACTTTTATTTTTTTCATTAAATAGTTTTAAAGAGAATAAAAAAATAATAGAAACAATAACAGAATTTCACTGAACAAGATGATAGGAATTCAGCAATGGCTGTTATATTGCATATTGTTGTTTTCAAATTAATTGTTCAGATTACTAAATGAGCATGCACAATTGGTCAAAAAAATTAAGCATTAGCTATTCCTTCCAGAAATCAGCAATATTTCCCTTCATTCTTTTTTTTCTCCTTGGTCTGGTACCAGTTGTTCCTTCTCTTTGAACAGTTTATTTCCTGTCACTGTATCTCTTGTACCTTTCAGATTTTATTTACTCTTTCAGGTTCTTACACTAGGGAGACAATACAGTACAGTGTCTACATATGTGGGTCTGATGTATTTCACTTATGAATATGGTCTCTAGTTATATCCATTTACCTATAAAAGTCTTGAATTTATCTTTTTTATAGCTGAGTAATAACTCCACTATGTAAAAATGCCACATCTTTTTACACATTCCTCATTGATGGGCATTTGGGTTGTTTCCAAAATTTAGCTATGGCAAATTGTACTGCTATAATACACATTGGTGCACATATA